AGGGCGCCACGGTGGCTAGGATATGTTAACTACCTCGCTGGTATACAGGAGGTCGTGGGTTCGATCCCGACCGTGACGCCTGCTGCTGTGTATTTGTAGTCTGCGTGTCTCTCTCTCCCCGTGTTCGAGTGGATTTTCCTCCGAATCCTCTGCTCTTTCGCTCCACATTTATAACCGCACGTTTAGAGTGTTTGACCGCTTGCATTTCCACGCGTTGGGCTATCCTTTGTGGCCAGGTCGCTTCTAAAAAATAGCTGCACAGCAGCTTAGTAGAGCCTGGTTAAAATGAAACGTAGTTAATCGTATCAAGGCGAGAGTTTATGTTTAACCATCCATCGTGATGCTGGTACAGATCTCTACTCACCACGCGTGACACGGGGGCACCGGCCAAGGGGGTCGCACGTTCGGAGTGTGAGTGCGTCTGCCTGTGTGTGTGTGTCGTGGCTATGTATTGGCTCTGTGTGTGTGTGTCTTGGCTCTTTGTGTGTGTGTCTTGGCTCTGTGTGTCTCCTGTCTATGTGTGTGTCCGCACTCTATATAAGGGGGCATCCGCACTCTCATGGGGTCGTGGGGGCGTGGGGAAAGGGAGGAGAGGGTAAGAGGGAGGTGAGAGGGAGGTGAGAGGGAGGGGGGTAAGAAGGAACAGGGGTGAGAGAGAGCGGGGTAAGAGGTGAGGAGTGAGAGGGAGTGGGGGTAAGGGGGAGGAAGGGGGTGAGAGGGAGGGGGTAGGTGAGAGAGGGTGGGGGTAAGAGGGAGTGTGAATGAGAGTGGGGGGGGGGTAGGAGGAGGGGTTAGAGGGAGGGGGGATGAGAGGGGATGGGGGTGTCTCTGGATGATATTCTCAATTAGAGCTCAGTTTTCACACTTCTTTCTCCTGCCACCGAGGACCCAGCCCCCTCCTCTTCCCTCGCGGAGACCCCCTGGGGGTCCCGGCGCAGTAAGCACAAATTATTTTAGGCATCTTTCTAATTTAAAGCTTTCGAGACTGCAGGGATTCATCTTCTTGGTTCTTTCGGTAAAGTCACGTAGAAGGGAAATAATAAAAATTATAAACAAATAAAACAATCAAATACAATTCTCACGACGTTTCGGCCACAACACAAGCAGCCGTCCTCAGGTGAAAAACAGGTCTGTCGGAAAGACAGCGTCTGATTGAACACCACCAAGCATGCAAGCGTATATTTAAGCTGGGTAAGGGGAGGAAGGTCTTTCCGACAGATCTGTTCTTCACCTGAGGACGGCTGCTTGCGTTGTGGCCGAAACGTCGTGATAATTGTATTTTATTATGTTTTATTTTTATTCTTTAATTATTTCCCTTCTACGTGACTTTACCGAAAGAACCAAGAAGATATTTTAGGGATGTTTAAACATTTGAACTCATCATGGATAAATTGGCATTGACGAGGCACTCTCCGTGCGCTCGGCTTCGTCTTGCTCATCACTGAGAGCGATGTCACGGGTTTGTGGGGTCAGCCGAGGGCAGCTCGTTGTGTCGCTTCGTCTGTCTGTCTCTGTGAGTGAACACGCAGACTCCAAAACGCACAGCAGGCGTCAGGGTCGTGGTCGAATCCATAACCTCATGTTTACCAGGCTGGACTTTTTTGTCTCCACCGCTTACAATCGACCGTCACGCGTTTAGCGAATTTCGCCACTGCTGTGATGAGCCAAATCGTTGAGCTCTCATTTGTGGCCCAAGTCGCTTCTGGAAAAGGGCTACACAGCTCAGCGGGCCCTTACCTGGCAAAATAAAAAATATATATAGTTTGAGTTGACGTGATTTGTTACGTGGATGATCCCTCCCAAACGGCCATCCACACGGCAGCAGGGAGGAGGTGGGGGTGAGGGAAGTGGCACAGCCGCCCGTGCGCGGTGATCTACCAACCCCTCGGTGCCGTCTCCACGTCAGTGCCGGATCGCAGCCACCAGGCCACGTGCAGCCCGGCCACCAACACCGCCACCACTCAGAAGGGTCGTGGTGAGTGGGTTGGTGGTGGAGGGCGGTGAGCAACTGGAGTCCATCTGCTCCGCGCTGCATGCGGGGAGTGTGCAGGGTTCCCCCGAGCACGTGGCGACTCGGATTCGATTCCCGCTCACGGCCAACATCAGTAGCGATTATCTGAACCAGTCCTGGGCCTCCCATAGGTGGACTCAGCCTTAAACGAGTACATGGTGCGCTGTGTGAACATTGCCACGAGGTAGACAAAGGCGGCCGGGCGTGGTGCTGGCCACCCACCCGTTCGTTTTCCGTTCCGGCCTTCATAGGTGTTCGCTAACAGCACTTGCCCCAACAGTCTGTTAAAGAGTTTATGGGGGATCTTTGTCTTTGTTTTCAATAGGTGGGTGAGTGGCTGAGTGTGTGGGTGAGTGAGTCAGTGGATGATTAAGGGAGTTAATGGGTGGGTGGGTGGGTGAGTGGGTGAGTGTTTGGGTGATTGGGTGGGTGCGTGAGTGGCTGAGTGAGCGGGTGAGTGAGTCAGTGGATGAGTAAGGGAGTTAATGGGTCGTCCAACTGCCCCCCCCCCCCCCCCCCGCTAGAGCTCGAGACATTTGCGTGATTTAAAGTCGTTATTCTTGGATGTACACACGTAGTTGCAGTGAGAAATAGAGAAATGCAGATATCTGCGGACAGGATTCAGGCCTCCTTGAACACGTGCACGGTTGAGCATTAGTTTGTGGCCGAGTTGGAACGTACATATGGTTTGGACTTGGGCATTTTTGGGATATTGGTAAATGTGCGAATGGGCTGAAGGCAAAGTTGAGTGCACATTGAATGGGCTGAGTCAGGTCTAGTTAAGCGCGCACATGATTGGGCTTAGCATTGTTTGCCATACCGTTAATCAGGGTTTTGGTGTCGTTTGTTATATGGCCGAATGTGTCTTCATACTTTCATTATGGGCAATTGTAATGTGGATATTAGCGTCTCGTTAATGAGGTGGAATTCATTATGAACATAAAACTTGTAGGTGATACTTAACACAGCAAAGCCTTGACCATCACTGGGGTTACGTTCTTGAAAATAGCTGCAATCGGCAAATCCGCGATCCACAATCTCAAAAGACATTTAATTGGAAACAGGGTTTGGTTCAACGGTTCGTAATACGACAACACTCTATCTTGTTGTACGTTACTACACATCAACCCAGACATTAAACAGGGGGCATTTTGAATGTAAAATATTAATATTTTCTAGTGTTAAATACAACTTGTACGGTAAATGTATGGAATTATATATCTATGTTTATGTAATGTACAATACTTAGACACGCCGTCGACTATACATCTTGTGGCTGAACCTCGCTGCCACTGCGTGACCTGGGGCCTGTGATGGGTCGTGTGGGAGACAAGATGGATACAAGACGGAGATAACAAGGAGACGAGACGAAGTAAAGATGGAGACAAGACGGTGCTGCGTGTGTTCTTCCGTGGCAGCATCACCGCCAGTGGTCCAATTACGCCGTGCATGCAGGAATCTCGCGGTTACCCGCGAATTGGCGACCCACAGGGCCACAATCGGCGAAATGCGCCTCGATTTGGTGCGAAACCACGAGAGCCAAAGCCACCAGTGGGATTTGCTGTACTGCAATTTATAATTGTACTAGCTTTGCTACCCGGCTTCGCCCGGGGCTTGGATTTACCACGCCCGGCCGCCTTTGTCTCCCCAGTGGCGATGTTCATGCACCACACCAGTTACTCGTTTGAGGCTGAGTCTACCTAGGGGAGGCCCAGGAGCGGTTCAAATAGTCGTCACCGGCGGTGGCCGTGAGCTAGAATCAAACTCGGGTCGCCTAAGTTCGTAGAGCAGCGCGCTAAGCACTGCGCATGCGCGAATGACGTGACAGATGTGACGTCACAGCTCACTTTCCATGCAGAATATCTGCATTATTGCGCCCCCCCCCCCCCAAAAAAAAATACCAAAGTATATTTTTATGATTTGTGCATAGTGTACAGTCTGGAAAGTACCCACATGGCAAATTTCAAGTTTGTTGCATGTCGGGAAGTACGCTAAACATTTTGAACAGACACGTAGTCACAACTTTTATATATTTGTAGATCATTCATGGTGGGCAGATATATGGGCAATTGGGGATAATGTATGAATGGAGATTATGCCAATGATAGTAATTTCATTAAACGGTAGAATGTAGTATATAGAGAGCCTTGTTGAGCATTGAAAGGGTGTGAGGGCTGATTCGTGGCCCCGTGTGATCATGTTGTGGGTCTTCGTTGGTGCCCGACTTAAATGGACATCACCGTAGATGAACCCTGGCGTGTGTGAGTGCAGAAACACGGCACGGGATCGTGGAAAACAATTCCAGAGGTCCAACAAAACTTGAGCGTTTAAATGTCACGTGAGCCACACCTGCGATCTCGGTAAGACCATGGCCATAAGTGCGAGACACAGCGAGGCCCGGTGACACGTGCAAGCAAGGTTTGGAGAGCTCACAAGGTGGAGTGGTTTCTCTACGAGCACAGAGCACAAACAACAGTGTGAGGCAGTGGTTCTTAACCTTTTACCGCAACCTTCTCAATTGTTAAAACGTGTGTGATGTTAAGAAATACTTAGGTTTGATGAAACAAAGTAGTTGTAACTTATGTGACCGTGCTTCATTTTTCGATGATTTACCTTTGGTTGCCGTCCATAAATGACGTCCGCGATTTTGTATGATTTTTGACCCCCCCCCCTTCGTCACACGACGTCACAAAAAGTCAGACCTCCCCTCAAATATGAAGTCACAGAGCTCTGCCCCCCCCCAAAAAAAAACATGCTTCAAATCGCTTTAAACTATTGTCATTGTAGTGCGTATTTAATGTGGCGCTGCACTCTGATGCTGTAGGAGAAACATTCATTAACACGTCTATTTTAATTAAATAGAACGTGTTGTCTATATTTATATAAAGTTGTGCATTTTAATGTGACGTCACATTTCTTAAACACCCCCCCCCCCCCCTCGTCACACATCGATACAAATGTCTGACCCCCCCCCCCTTGGTCCGTGACGTCATTTATGGACGGCATTTTCAGAAAGGGCATCTCGCACCCCCCGCGAAAGCGCGCATCCCAGGTGAAGAACCACTGGTCTAAGGGAACAATTTAACAGAGGCACAGTGGTCCCTCGGTGATCGATGCCATCGGTTAACGATATTTCGGTTAACCATCTTGCCTCCCATAGGGTCCCATTGTTTCTGTTATTGATACATTTTAGAGGAACGATATGTGTTTACCATATCACGCTGAAGCCGATTTCGGCCAATCGGAGCGCTCCTAGTGGCTGCAGCAGACCTTAGCCAATCGACGACGCCCTTTTATGAGCATTTTGAGAGCAACTGACAGCTCGCTTTTGAATATTGGATGTTCGTTGCTTATGGAAACAACTCTCTTGAATACTTTGTCTTTTTTTTTACTTAAAACTTAAATAAGATCAATAACAATGGCCCCTAAAATGAATGCGAACAAAGACAAGACAGTTAGGAAAACGTTTTCTCCCACACCAACTTCTTCATAAACTCCTGAAGCCATTCCATCTTCTTAGCCTAAGGTATGTCATGCTCTATTTATTCAGCTTTTTAGGCTCTGTTACTTATTTATCCATGTTTATATTAATTAGTTAAAAGGTTCTTATGACGTTTATTTATTAACACTGCATGTATAAATATAATAAACTATGTTTTTTGAGTGAAAAAGGTCAACTTCTAATCGTCTTGGAGCATTAAGATTAACGAAATTTTTAAATAACGATGGGTTTCGTGGCACCAATTAATATCGTTCACCGAGAGACCACTGTAGATACAAGATGGACAAGTAGTCTTGCAAACAGTGCAGTATCATACCAATGTTAGAGCGAAGTCTAAAACTACAGGAAGTGACGTTTCTTCATCGTCACAGAGGCCATGGTATCGCAATGAGAAACGCAACCCGCACTTCATTCGGACAACTTAAAGTTCCTCTCTCCCGCCCTGAAAATCCGAAGACTGAGGATCTTGCGGAAGGCGCCACGGAACTGGCGGTTGAAGGAGGCGTAGAGGAGTGGGTTGACGGCCGAGCTGATGTAGCCCATCCAAGTGGCCACCTCGTACTCGACGTCGCAGTCCCCGACAAACGGGAAGACGAGCACGATGATGTAGAAGGGCATCCACGAGAGGAAGAAAGCTCCAATGATACTGCCCAGAGTCACCGTGGCGTTGTGCTCACGTCGGATGTTGCTCACCCTCTGTTGGCCTTGGCTTTGGACCTTTGTGGTCGCTGCCTTGATCTGCCGAGCCTGGGTGCGCGCCACGTGGTAGATGCGCGCGTACATGGCCGTGATGACGAGCATGGTCAGGAAGTAGGGGCAGGCGCCGTAGAAGAAGTGCAGTGTGATGTCGACGCTAAAGAGACAGTCGTCCGGGCAGCCCACCCTCTTGATGGCGCTGGGAATGAGCTGGGGGCTGAAGCTCAGCAGGCTTGGCGAGGTGAAGAGCGCCGCCCCGAACCAGCAGATGAGCAGCATCGCCACGAGGGTGCGTTTCGTGATGCGCTGAGCGTAGCGCAGCGGGTCGCAGATGGCCACGTAGCGGTCGAAGGCAATGCAGCTCAGGTGGAAGATGGAGGAGGTGCAGAGGGTGTAGTCAACGAAATATAAGACGTTGCAGAAGCTGTAGTCGTAGAACCAGCAGTTGTAGACGGTGCCCACCATACGCAGGGGCATCACTATGGACCCCAAGCCGAAGTCGGAGACGGCGAGGGACATCGCGAGGATGTTGGTGTGAGTCTGCAGCTGCCGGAAGATGATGACTGAGCTGATGATGAGCATCTTGCTGAGGATCGTAACCACGATGAAGAAGCTGATGATGATGAGGATGATCGGTCGGCTTTTCTCCGGCAGGCTCGTCCCGCTGCAGTTGTAGCCGTGATAGTCTATGCATTGCAACGTCTTGGTTGTGTTTGCCATGACTTTGAGGGGTCCCGTTAAAAGTAGCTTTGGTACCCTTTGACCTCACCACTGGAGAAATATAAGTCTTAATAAGTGGTTAATATAATCGGTATTTAATTAAGCGGTAGTAGCTTCTTTTTTTCAATCTGCCTTTGCGAGTCCAAACTTTCTCAGAATTGCAACACACCGTTAAAAACTTTTCATACAAATGTTGATGATAATTACGATGACGATGTTTTCGATATGATGCGCTACTGACAATCGGATGGCACTGTTGACGCTTATGCCCTTTCTCTTAAAGACGACGATGCTCCTGGTCCTGTGCTCGTTGAGGTAGTAAACAGTGATGGCGATGGCGATGACGATTTCCGAAGGCGGTCGGATGCAGTTTTTGACTTGGGCTCGAAATTTCTCCTCCCTGACTCCGGCTTCCCAGGTTCCTCGCTCGGTTGCACTCCGGCCACTGTGGAAACTGCTAAACAGAGAGGACCACAAGAAACTCAGTCACTCACCAAACTCAATGCCGTGCCTCGTTACCCATGGGTTTTATCGCACGTTCCATTGCCCTGCATCTGCACGCCTAACATCGCTTTAACGCACGTGTTTTTCGCTTAACGCACACCGCGAGTAGTCTAGCGTGTGACTGACTACCTCTCTGAGCAACGTCGGTGTTGGCTGCCTTGTTCGCTGATGCTGGCGCAGTTATACTCCAATTGACGTCTCCGCCCGTGTCTTCGTTTCGAAAACACTTCACTGTATTATTAACATCACTACCACCTCATTTGCGTCACCGCAACCCCGCGCGGCATCGTCGTCGTCACCTACCTCGCTATCCGTCTTCGCCTCCACCTATCGCTTCGATATTCGTCGTCTCGCCTTCCAGGAATAAATGAATGTCACACGTCGTATATTTATAGACGATGTAAAAACAACACACTCAGGAAAAAACCAGTAGTACAGTATTGTCAAAAAATCTAAGGAACTGGAAACGTTATTTGGTGTTCCTCCTCCTCCCGCCTGTGCCCAATGACCATTCCCTTCTCGCTTCTGGCCCTCTTACGCTGGAACAATCTGCCCCGACACGTCAATCAGCCTCACTCTTCATGAATCGTTCTGCCATTAAACACTGATTTTCCATTTATTACTCCAACTCCCCCCCCCCCTTTCCCTATTCATTAACACCATCATCATCATCGTACTTCTTCAAAACTTCCCTACCCATACTCTCTGGTTTCTATATTAGCTCTCTTCACGCACTACAGTGATTTTGGCTGTAAGGGTTCCACCTGAAGGCGGAAGCTTGTGTTGCCTCCGAAACGTCGTGATTTAATTTATTTTATTTTTTACCTACGTGACTTTACCGAAAAAACCAAAGCGTACGAATCCTTGCAGTCACGAAAGCTTCAAATTTAGAATCCCTACCCATCCCTCGCACTCATCATCATGAACCACCCACTACCACTGTCACCGCCGTCTATTACACACATCGTCGCGTTCACCATGTGCCACCATCCTCGTCGGCTCATCTCATCGCACGATTCTGCTGGACAAATGTGTTCATTCCTCGTCGGGCGCCTTGTGTCGAGGCGCAACGTGAATGGAAGCAAGATGAGAAAAGTCGATGGATGGGGATTCGCCGAACTCGCCTTTGACCGGTAGTTGTCATCTCGAGAAGCAACGTGCGCAAGTTGGGCTCAGGCAGTAACCCACTCGCACACAGACATATACTCCAGCGTATAGCCTTAGCAGTGTGTAGCGGTGTAGTGGTGGTGTAGTGTAGTGGTGTGTCGGTGTGTTTTGCAGTGATGTGTAGTGGTGTGTAGCGGTGTGCTGTGGTGGTGGTGTAGCGGTGTGTCAGTGTGGTGTAGCGGTCTGTAGTGTAATGGTGTGTAGTGTAGTGGTGTGTCGGTGTGTATTGCAGTGGTGTATAGTGGCGTAGTATTGTGTAGCGATGTTTATTGGTATGGTGTGGCGGTGTTTAGTGGCATAGTGTAGCAGTGCAGTGGGGTGTTGTGGCGGTGTAGTGGTGTGTCAGTGTGGTGTAGCGGTCTGTAGTGTAGTGGTGTAGTGTAGCGGTCTGTAGTGTAGTGGTGTGTCGGTGTGTATTGCAGTGGTGTATTGGTGTGCTGTGATGGTGGTGTAGCGGTGTGTAGTTGTGTGTAGTGGCGAGTAGTGGCATAGCGGTGTTGTGTAGCGGTGTGTCGTGTGGTGTGGTGTGTTGTGGTGTGGCGGTTTGTAGTGGTGTAGCGGTGGGGTGTGCTAGTGTCGTGGTGTAGTAGTTCAACATTTTTACTTGTCATAGGCGTGCAGTGTGGTGAGTGTTTGGTGAGTGGGTCTGGTGAGTGTGTTTGTGAATAATGAAGCTGGTGGCTGGTGATTGTTTGGTTGATGGCTGCTCCGCTTCAGGAGGTTATAGGGTGGTGAGTGCGAACAAAGGGCGTGCCTGGTGAGTGTCTAACCAGTGGTGAGCTGTCTTGTGAGTGGTATTTTGGAAAGGTGAAATGTCAGCTGAGTGGTTGGTAAATGGCAGTGATGGCAGAGGTGGGTGGTGAGCATCTGGCAGAAGTCGTAATCGGGTACCCGATACCCGTACCCTTCCCTATACCCGGCTACCCGTACCCGGCCGGGTACGGGTACCCGTTTGCGACCCTGGTGCGGCCGGGTACGGGTACGGGTGGGCCGTGAGTCACAGGTGAGTAACCGTTTGTCACTCATTTCCCAATATCTTGTCTCTTCTCACAATTCAAGTTCCTAGAATCAACCCACCCGTGCCTGCAACATGGCTTCATCCCAGAGGTCGCAATCGGGTACCCGTACCTTACCCGATACCCGGCCGGGTACGGGTAGCCGGGAATCGGGTAGGGTACGGGTACGGGTACCCGTTTGCGACCCTGGTGCGGCAGGGTATGGGTACGGGTAAGGAATCAAAACCCCTTTGCGACCTCTGGCATCTGGTGAGAGTATCAGGTGGTGAACAGTGTCAGGCGTCTGGTGATTCTTGAGAGTGGCGAGCAGAGTCAGGACAGAGCCCATGTAAGGGGAGAAGGGGGCTGAGCAGACAGAAAAGATAAGCCCCGTCTCTAGGACGGGCTGCCCTCTAAATAATAACTGACCCTGTACAATCCATCGTTGGATGAAGGCCACCCCGCGTCCGTGTCCCAGTCGTGAGAAGTGTTGCGACCTGCAGTGTGGTGGGTGGATTGGGTGGGTTGGCAAGTTGGTGTGAGTGGAGTGGGTGACTGAGTGGATGAGTGAGTGACTGCGTTGTGGCCTGCAAGTGTGGTGGTTGATCACGGTGTGGGTGAGATGAAGCAGTCTGGTAGACCCGAGTGCTTAACGCGAGTGTATTCATCAACGAGTAGAGTTCACAGGAACAGTAACCGTGATAGTAGTAGTAGCGACAGAGGAGTTATAAGGAGGCAACTGACCGCCGGTGAGCGAGAGACCCAGGGGACTCGGAGATCCACACATAGACTCGCGTAGATACCCGGGGCCTCCTTTACAACGATCGTCACCTTGATGTGCTGGAAAGGCTTTGAGTGTTCCAATGGCCCTGAGAGCGAAGCCGTCGGGAGTTATGCTCCTGATAGGGTTTCCCATGGCGGTAAGGTCTCGGTTGAGGTCCCAGACGAAGTACGATCCAAGGTGTCCTATTAATCCCCACCCCTGGGCAGGTAGGGCTCTATAGGTTTGTGTTGCAACTCACCTAGGAGAAGGCCACTTCGAATTAAAACCGACAGCTCTGTGGTTGCCAGTTGCCATAGCCGTCTTAGCTCGCTGAGCCACTGTGGAGTAACCCTGAGCCGAAAGATTGGGATCGGAGTGCGCGAGCTGATCTGCGCTTTAAATCAACTCTAGCGCAGGCGGGAGGAAAGTCCTCCAAGCGATAGGGGAGAGGTGGAAACGGTAGGTGCAAGATGGCACTGGCTGCCGCAGCTTTTAACCTGCATGTCGGCGGCTCGGCCATATTTGTCGTTTGACTGTTGACTAGAGTCAACAACAATATCATCATCAACATCATCCGGCAGCACCATGTGAGACCAAAGCAGCCTTTTCTTGGGACAACACTGCTTGCTCCTGATGGAGAGAGGCCTAGAAAAGGTGCCCGAAACAAAGCTGTCCTCAACTCATCCGGTAGGCTTACCGCAGCCAATGGGCATCTCTTTACGCGGTCAAAAATAAACCAAATTTCCCAACATTTGCATGCTGGAACAGTCGCACAATTGGTGAACTCGGATGAAAACAACCGACCACAAAGACGCTCGACTCTCGTGGCAAGGGAGCTTGCCAGACTTGGCATTGGCATCACAGCACAGGGCAAAGTTCGCTTCGCAGAGCAGAGATCCCTGACTGAACACGGGGCGGGATACGTTCTGTTCTGGTCAGGGAAAGTCAAAGAGGAGAGATGTCTTTTTTCGGGCGTCGGACTCACGACGAAGAACACCGTCGCTGGCAAACTCCTGAGCCTTCCAATTGGCCATTCAGACCGCCTGATGTCTCTACGGCTACCCATCCAGGGTAACCAATTTGCCACCATAATCAGTGTTTGTGCACCAACCTAACAGGCTGATCAAGACGTCAGGGAAGCATTTTATCATGACCTCGGAACTCTTCTCACAGGGGGTTGATCACAAAGACATGCTTCTTGTGACGGGAGACTTCGGCTCTAGAGTCGATCAGAACCATGACCGCTAGACGGAAGCCTTTGGCAAGCGTGGAATTGGCAACTGCAACGACAATGGTCCTATGCACCTGGAGCTCTGCGCAGAACACCACCTCTGCATAAAACACGTGCTTTGCCAACAAAAAGCCAGATATAAGACCACGTGGAGACACCTGTGCTCCAAGCACTGGTATCTACTGGATTACATCCTTGTCCGCCAACAGTACGAAAGGGACATACTACACACTAAAGTCGTGCCCAGTGCTGACTGATATACAGGCCACAGATTGGCCAGAGCAAAAGTCACCCTCAGGATCAAACCACCACCCAAGAAGAAATGTCTTCACTCCAAGAAGCTCCAAGTAGAGAAGCCCCCCCTGTTAAGGGAGGAATTCCAGAACAAGCTCAAGACCAGGCTCAGTGAACATCACGCATGGAGACCCTGAAGAGCAGAGGAAACATCTAAAACGAATTTTCAGAACATGGCTGTGGAGGTGGTTGGTTTCTCAATGAGGAAACGCAAAGATTGCTTCGATGATAATGATCCGGAAATCGAATCACTCTTCCAGACTAAACGGTCCTGTCATTCCAGACTACTTGCCTGTCCCAATGACCAAGCCGCAACATCTGCATACAGCGCTGCGTGCAAAACCTTGCAAACAAAGCTGAGAGTCCTTAAACAAAACTCGTGAACAGACCTCGCAGTAAGGACACAACTGTATGCAGACATGGGGGACACGTGAGCATTCTATGAGGCCCTACGCTCAGTGTATGAACCCTTGCACCAGACACGGGACCCCCTAAGATCATCAGATGGCACAACCCTTGTGACAGACAAGGAAGCTATCACGCATCGCTGGTCAAACAACTTTAGCAGTCTCTTCGCAGACAAGCGGACGGTCCAAGCAGCATCCATAGCCAAGTTCCAGCAACGCGAAGTGAGGACTGAACAGGACACGCCACCAACACGGGCAGAGATTGCATCTGCCATCAAGAAGCTCAAATCACACAAGGCACCCGGTATCGATGGGATCGCAGCCGAAGTGTACAAGGAGGAAGGAAATGCACTTCTGGACAGTCTCACAGACAGTTGCCGGATTAAACTAGTGCGGGGCATGTAGCACATGTTATAAAGGCCCCCTAAGTAAAAAAAATAAACATCAATATTAAAACAACCAGGTACTCGTTTAAGACTGAGTCTACCTATTGGAGGCCGAGGACCGGTTCAGATAATCTCTACTGATGTTGGCCGTGAGCTGGAATCGAATCCAAGTCGCCGGGTTCGTAGCGCAGCGCGTTATCCTCTCGTGCTGTTACGCCCTACCAACGGTAATCCTCCCTATTGAAGTACGCTGCCCTCGAGGGCCCTCTACATCAGATTTTGGACAGATGGCAGTCTTTTCAAACTTCGACGTCTCTTTGCTAACAACAAAACCATGGAGCAATATGTTCTGGAACTGCTTTTCGCAAATGACTTTGCACTTTTTGTACACGCGGAGAAGGCAGATCATGTTTTTGGCCTGACCATCACCCTGAAGGAATAAAGGTGTTATATCAGCCTCCACCTCGTGAAATGTACACTCCACCATCAATAAATTACATGGAGATCCAGGAACTCACACATAGACTCACATAGAGATCCAGGGACCCGGAGACCCACACATAGACTCACAGAGACCCAGTGACTCAGAGATAAACACATTGACTCACATAGAGACCCAGGGACTCAGCGACCGACACATAGACTCACATAGAGACCCAGAGACTCAGAGACCCATAGACTCGCGTAGAAATACTCAGAGTAGAGACGCTACAGATGACCTACTCTATATTTAAAACCCCACAACTTGTAGGGCGCCACGGTGGCGAAATGTTAACGACCTCGCCTGGTATACAGGAGGTCGTGGGCACGATACCGACCGTGACGCCTGCTGCTGTGTATTTGGAGTTTGCGTGTCTCTCTCTCCCCGTGGTCGAGTGGATTTTCCTTCGAATCCTCTGCTCTTTCGCTCCACATTTTTAACCGCACGTTTAGAGTGTTTGACCGCTTGCATTACCACGCGTTGGGCTATCATTTGTGGCCAGGTCGCTTCTGAAAAATAGCTACACAGCAGCTTAGTAGAGCCCGGTTAAAATGAAACGTAGTTAATCGTATCAAGGCGAGAGTTTATGTTTAACCATCCATCGTGATGCTGGTACAAATCTTTACTCACCAAGCTTGACACGGGGGCACCGGCGAAAGGGGTTGCAGGTTCGGAGTGTGAATGCGTCTGCCTGTATGTGTGTCGTGGCTATGTCTTGGCTCTGTGTGTGTGTCCTGTCTATGTGTGTGTCCGCACTTTATTTAAGGGGGCATCCGCATTCTCATGGGGTCGTGGGGGAAAGGGAGGAGAGGGTAAGAGGGAGGTGAGAGGGAGGGGAGTAAGAAGGCGCGGGGGTGAATGAGAGCGGGGTAAGAGGGGGTGGAGTGAGAGGGAGTGGGGGTAAGGGGGAGGAAGGGGTGAGAGAGAAGGGGGGTAACAGGGAGGGGGTGAGGGGGGGGGAAAGGAGGAGTTGAGAGAGAGGGGGTAGATAAGAGAGGGGGGGGTAATAGGGAGTGTGAATAAGAGTGGGGGGGTAGGAGGAGGGGTTAGAGGGAGGGGGGGGTGAGCGGGGATGGGGGTGTCTCTGGAGGATATTCTCAATTATAACTTAGTTTTCACACTTATTTCTCCTGCCACCGAGAATCCAGCCCTCTCCTCTTCCCTTGCAGGACCCCCCCCTCCCAGCAGAATCAGTCACGAGGCTAAATGAGGCTTTTCTTGCCCTTTCCGAGAACTTCTGATGTATCGCCACGGTGGCTATGAGATGTTAACTACCTCGCCTGGAATATAGGCGGTCGTGGGTTCGATCCCGACCCTGACGCCTGCTGCTGTGTATTTGTAGTTTGCGTGTCTTTCTCTCTCTCATATTATCATCACGGTGGTTAGGAGATGTTAACTACCTCGCCTGGTATACAGGCGGTCGTGGGTTCGATCCCGACCCTGACGCCTGCTGCTGTGTATTTGTAGTTTGCGTGTCTCTCTCTCTCTCTCTCATATCATCATCATGGTGGCTAGGATTACCTCGCCTGGTATACAGGAGGTCGTGGGTTCGATCCCGACCCTGACGCCTGCTGTATATGTGGAGGCTGCGTGTCTCTCTCTCTCATATCATCATCACGGTGGCTAGGATATGTTAACTACCTCGCCTGGTATACAGGAGGTCGTGGGTTCGATCTCGACCCTGACGCCTGCTGCTGTATATGTGGAGTCTGCGTGTCTCTCTCTCTCATATCATCATCACGGTGGCTAGGAGATGTTAACTACCTCGCCTGGTATACAGGAGGTCGTGGGTTCGATCCCGACCCTGACGCCTGCTGTATATGTGGAGTCTGCGTGTCTCTCTCTCTCTCATATCATCATCACGGTGGCTAGGAGATGTTAACTACCTCGCCTGGTATACATGAGGTCGTGGGCTCGATCCCGACCCTGACGCCTGCTGCTGTATATATCCGCGTGTATTTTTCTCCGGGTTCCTTCAGTGTTTTCGTCCATATTTAGACAACATGCGATTGCAGAGCATTTGGCTGCTATATGAGCCACTTCATTGAGCTCTTGTTTGTGACAGCCTGCTCGCTTCTCAGAAGGAGCTACGTAGCTCAGCGCGACCGTACCTGGTACAAATAAAAAAAATTGTAGTTTAGTTTTAGATTGGAGCGGTTGGCTACGTGGGGTGCAAAATAAGTTTAGCATACATACATGCATACATACATACATGTCCTGGCTAACAAGCGCAATGATGGTATTAACAATACAGACGATATCGTTCGATGGTGCCATATCGTATCATAGCATCGCGACCCCCCCCCCCCCCGCCGCCAGGTGTCTGCAGCCCAGGGAGGTGCCGCTAATGAGCACGAGTGGCTCCCTTGCCTGGAGCGTTCGGGCTAATATCCCGCCGAGAGCCGATCGGGGTAATTTTACTCTTAGTGACTCGAGGGGGTGAGGGGGGGGGGAGGTTGGAGGGGGAGGGAGGTAGTGGGGGATAAGGGCGAGGGGGGGTCGTGATTAAATTAATATCTGTGCGGTTTTTTTTGTCAGATCGGCGATTTTCTTTACACGTGTAGTGAGTCCAACTGAATCGCAAACGTTGTCTTAGAGATTAACACGTTTTATTAAACTCTTAGCACAACATACTCTAGGGCTATTGACACAACACACTCCAGGCTATTAACACAACACACACTCGGGTGGTGACCACCCAACTAACCATGCTACGGCGGAACTAGACACGGTTCCACTATCCCGGTCCAGACCACAAGCTGGGTCCCGGACCGCATGGCTGGAGGCTTCTTCAAGCTTGACGTGGATCTCCTGCCTCCCCAACAGTAAGAACCCCGAGCCCCTCACAGGGGCCCCTTATATCAGGCCGGGCTGGGGCTGGCTCCGCCTCTCGCCCCGCCCACCTTCTCGATCGCTCTCGCCCTTGCCCGAAGGCTCTCGAGAGTTCTTCCCGGACCATGTGACCATCCATTGGCCCCCTCCACCGGTGGCCCCCCTCCAGTGTCATCCGGTCACATGTCCCCAGGTCAGCCAGAGTATCATGCCCCTCAACATAACCCTAGCTGGCTGACACTCTCTCGCTCTCTCAACGGGAGCCCGCACCGCACACTGTGCATGGTACCACTGCGCTTAACCAGCGCTCTCCCAAGCCCCCACTAGGGCTGGTACTACACCCCGTGTCCGGGGTGTACACACAACATTATACATCCCGCCATGGCCTTGCAGGCACGCACCACACAGTGACATTCCCAGTCACTACATCACCCCCCCCCCCCCCCCCGCTCCTTACCACTCAACCATCCCGGCTGTCAACTTCTCCTTAAGGAAGCAACGACGAAATATATATATACAAGATAACGCATGTGTGCTCCAACAATAACAAAACAAGCAATAAATATCCAAAGCCACCTGTACAATTATACACTGGCTAACAAAAATAATGCAGAACAACAACAATACCAATTGCGACATGCAGGGCTCCCGCCATCAACATCTCCCACTCTCAACGTGTAACAACGCTCGTGAGCTCAATGGCGAGCAGGATCAGCTATGACTTACGCGAGCGCGATAACCAATCATGGCGTGGGAGTGTGCAACGTGCGGGGATTATGCAACCCGAGTCTTTAAGCGAGTCCGCGATGCCGGGCCTCCAGGGGGGTTGGGCTCATCTGCCCTGGACGACCCGGGGGAAATGAGCAATCGATTGGACGAAGCTGGCTCCTCACAAAGAGCAGTAGGCCGGACCGTCTGACCTTCCACGTCCGGGGCACGCGAGGCCGACACGAGCGGCCGCGTGCGAGGCATCAATCACGCAGCGCCTGGGGGCGGGACAGAACCACTGTCCTGAGGACCAGCATCAGCAGATGCATGCCCCAGCTCGTCGAGCACATCCGACACTCGACCCCTGCGATATGGAGCTCAAACAAATTCACGTGGCACAATAAACGGATTCAGACGAGAGGGGTGAACAAACCAACTTCGCTTACCAAGCCGAATTTGGACACATTGTGGACGCACGATCCGAACAACATCAACCGGCCCCCTCCAGGTTTGCAGCAATTTAGGGGATGTGCCCACGGGCACCTGCGGACAATGCAACCAGGCCCTGTTACCCGGCGACCAATTGCACAGGAAAACACGAGCCCCCTTCAGCCGCTGGTTAGCCAACTGTCTTGGGAGTTGACCCTGGAAGCTTCCTGTGCTTTGGAGAGCTTTGCAAGAGTGAAACGAACGGAATCCGAAATTTTTGACACTTTCACGGCCAGTGGGGCCTGCAACTGTACGTTGATGGGAGGATCATCCCGTCCATACATCAAAAAGAAGGGAGAGTAGCCGTTGGACGTATGAGGGGCCATCCTGTAGGCGGCGAGAACCGCAGGGATATACAAGTCCCAATCCAGCTGTGACTCGCTGACCAGGTGACTCAACATGGAGGTCAGCGTTCTGTTCAGGCGTACGACCATGCCATCCATCTGCGGATGGTATGGTGATGTGCGCACCTTCTTTGTCCCCATCAAATCGCAAACCTCACGCGGCAGTTTCGAAGAAAATGTTTACCTTTGTAATGTGAGGATATATCCGGGTCGTTGATGGATTACAACTCATCACAATGATTGGCTCTGCCGGTCCTAGTCCATAGCCAATGGGGGGAAGCCTAGGGGCGTGGCCCTGACGTAATGGAAAGGTGACAGCTGTAAATAGAGGATTGGTTCTGCTGGCTTTAGCCACAGCCAATGGGGAGACGAGTCAGGGGCGTGGTCCCGGGAGCCTACGGTGGAGTCTGGAAGATTCCATAGAGGCTAATCAGGATTGGTGGAAACGTACCACGTGACCCGGGTATTGAATAGGGGTGGAGACGAACAACACGTGGTCAGAACTGGAACGAACGAAGGAAAGAAGCCACGCGAGAGCGGGGGTCCAGGCTGCCACGTGGCTGCGCGCGTCTCTCTCTTTTATCCCTCTCACGCTGTCTGTCAGCAGCGTGAAGGAGTGTTGTAATGAAAGAGGAATAAAGACCGGATTCCAGAAGTCGCTTCAACGACCTTTATTACTCCTTGATCAGTCAAAAAGCACTCGGGGGCACACTTATCTAGGACATAGCCATTAAGGAACGCCTTGGTCACAGCTATATCCAATTGATTTGGGAACGGCTAGGCCATAGGCCAGCGTGAGAAATACTCAACGCCAACGAGCAAGTATTTGTTGCCCCGCGCAGAAGTTGGAAATGGACCGGGAATATCGAGGGCAACCAGCTCGTTGATTTCGCGACACCTGAATAGATTGCAGTGGAGGGCAACAATATTTCGCCGGTGGCTTCCGCCGCACACAATTCAAGCAACCTTTAAGCAAATTTTCAACGTCCGGGGCCATGGTCAGCCAATAAATATCCAGATGTAATAGACGTTTATGGACGGCCCAAACAACCTCGCCATGCAGAGCGGTAAGAACAACAATGGCGTCCCAGTGCATGAGCAGTCCGCCTCGCAGGACAACCGAGGCTACACCATGAGTAGCCGCCTCACCGGCGGTCTCTCTGACTCACCGTTGTAATTTAAGCAAGAACGCATCCTCTGCCTGCAAGCGCCCCCACACTTCGTAGTCCAACCCTATTACTGCATTCCGCACGTCCGGGACATCGCCCGACCCGCCCATCGTGTCCGGGGTGGACGCAACGAGATTGGGGGGGAGGTTGACTCGGTCGGTCGACAAAGACCGGAACCCAAAAAAGCATGCACACCCGCCATC